AAGAAAGAAAGAAAGAAAGAAAGAAAGAAAGAAAGAAAGAAAGAAAGCCATCCATTTCTTTCCTAATAGTTTCCTATGATACCATGAGATGGAACCAGGAAGAATGGGCCAAATATAAAAGATCACATATTAGCCACTTAGGGCACATTTTAACTAAGGGAAACATGGTTTGTGAATGATAATGTTGACTCAGCTTGTACACTTTCCCTTCTACTGTACAGAAACTCAGAAGCATAGATCTGGAAGGTGCCTTGAAAATTATTTAACATTTTGTCCAATCCCATCATTTTTCAAAAGAGGTACATGATGTTCACTGAAATTCAATGACTTGTCCAAAGTTCCATCTTTAGTTAATGGCAGCTCTGGGATTAGAACTCAAGTCTCCTTATTACCATGTGAAGTTCTTGCTACCACATTAAATAAGCCTTTGTGTTAGACATAGCAACCATATATCCTATATTTTCTGCTAATACTAATTACATATTATTTTAAATACATAACTATGTAAATGGGACTTTGTAAGATTTTTAAATGAAGAAACTGACGTCAAAAATACAGAATTGACTCAGTTGGTTAAGAGCTCGCTCAAGAGTTTGAGCTCTGAGCAACAGCGGTTCGAGTCCAGCCCGAGCTGAGCAGCCACTGAGCTGCCATCAGGTAGCAGGATGGCTCAGCTTAAAAACAAAACAAAGCAAAAAAAAAAACAGAATTGAACTGATACATACTGAGCTGTAATTAGTTCATGTTTAATGAATTCATGTTTCATTTCATTAATATGCTATTTAAGGATATAATACCTGTTAGTTTGATTTCTTTTGAAATTGGGAAAATGATTTAAAAATAAGGTAATTTTTCTTCCCACCAAAGTCTTTTATTTAAAAAAAAGTTTTTAAATGGTTTATGAAGATATTTGCTGAAAGAATGATGGCTACTTTGCACCACACTCTAACATTTTTGTCACATAAGGCAAGATTCATGATACAAACTTAATGCGTAAAGTTCAATGCAAAGGTATTACACAGTCCGAGCCATAAGCTTCAGATTTCCATTTGTTGCTCACGATACACTAACTTCTACCAAGAAGTTAGTCTACAGAACTATTGAAAAAGTCCCACTATATATACTCTGGTTTGTTTAGGGGCAGCAACAATTGTAGTCAAATGGGTTAGCCAGATGAACCCCTATAAAGAAGGGTTTGTGAGGGCAGGACTTGCCTGGCTTCCAGGGGTGGTGGGGTTCAGCAGAGTCTCAAACTTACCAGTAGTTCTTTTCCAGCTACCTTCCCTACCCACTAGGCCGCTGTGATCCCAAAAGGCCTCAGATCTCACCAAATCATTCAGTTCTCCTCAGGAAGAGCTGGAAATGGCGGGAAAATATACAGCAAGCTTCGCAACAGGGAACGGAAAGAAGCTGGGCGTGGCCCAGTACTGCGTGCGTGCGCGAGGTGTGGGCGGGGCCGGGGCGTGGTGCTAAGTGCGTGGGGACGTCCCGCAGCTGCGTAGTGTGGGGTAGAGTGGGGCTCGCGGTGGCTGGCAGAAGAGAAGGGTGTCTTTCGATAATCAGGAAAACCTACTTCGTTAAAATTGGAGACAGATAAGGAATGTGACCTAATCCCGTACATGTTACTGTGGAAACAACGAGGTGAAAATGCAGTAAACCTCAATAACACACTAGAAAAATGTGGTCACAAAGCAGATAAAACTTCAACCTAAAAGAATAGATCCTCTGAAAGAACAGCCTAAATCAGAATTAGAAAACCTATAAGGTGACATGGATGGAGAGCGGTCGTGCATTAAATGAGAACTAAGAAATCGCAGGGGAAAAAATCTAAACTTTTTCCAGAAATAAAAAATGAAGGGAAAAAAACACAATTAGGACTGAAAGGAGACTTGAAGAAAAGAAAGAAAAATGTTTTCCAGAGAAAGTGATGTAGAAAAACAAGCCAAAGAGATTTTACACACATGCATGCACACATATTTATTCCCCCAAGGAAAACCAGAACAATGTATCAGAACAAATATTTAAAACAAAATTTTGAGAAAATTTTCCTGAAATAAAATAAGACCTAAGTCTATATTTTGAAAGGGCATATTATATATAGGATAAAACTGACCCAGAACAATCAAAATCAAGACATTTTCTAGTGAAACTACTGGTCTTTAAAGATAAGGAAAACACCCTTTTGAGCAGCCAGACAAAACATACTAATTACTTACAAGTAAAAGAAAGTTAGACTGGCATCAGACTTCTATACAGCAGCTTTTTATGCTAGAAACAAGGAAACAGCATTTTGAAGATTTTCAAAAAGAAAATATGATCCAAGAATTTTATATCGACCCTTATACTTGTTCAAGTATAAAGGTTATTGACAAAAATGTGAATGTGACCTTTTTCCTGAGGAATCCACAAAGTGGTGGTTCTCAAACTTTTTGGTTTCAGGACTCCTTTACTTTTTAAAAACTATTGAAGACTCCCTCACCAAATAGTTTTTGTTTATGTGGATCATATCTATTAATATTTACCATTTTAGATATTAAAACTGAGAAATTTAAAAATATTTATTTACTAATTCATTTGAAAACAATAGTACATCCATTAAATATTAACATAACCTATGAAAAATAGATTTTTCAAAATAAAAACAATTCAGTGAGAAGAGTGGCATTGTTTTACAGTTGCATAATCTCTTACTATCTGATTTAACAGAAAGCTTCTGCATTGACTCTGTTGCAGTATGTTGTTTTGGTTGAAGTATGTGAAGAAGATCTGAACTCACACACATATGTAGATAGAAAAGGGATTAGTATTGTAATAGCATTTTCAGGTAATTGTGAACATTTTTCTTTGATACTACACCAAAATTCAAGAAGTGGGAGT